TATACATTTATATACATTAAACGCAGATTTTTTTTTTTTTTTTTTGAAAAATTCAATTGAGTAAAATGAAAAAAACTGACCTCATGCATGTACACCTTGCGTAAATAATACCAAGACGGTAAAGGATGTAAATAAATATATTAGTTTGGGGAAAAAGAAATCCATTATTTTTATATGAACTTCAGGACTTTATTTAACATGCTTCGGATTGTCCGATTTGGGTCAAATATGCACCGTTTTGTTGTATGATTTGTTGCCATTTTAAAGGTAACTTCGAAATGCCTCTCTCATAGAAGTCCTGGTCTCTATTTGCAAAAAACTCTAGTAGTCGATTTTCACAATCCTCCTTAGATTCCAATTTTTTATCATTAAAGAAATTTTGCAATGCAAGAAAAAGATGATAATCGCTTGGTGCCAAGTCCGGACTGTATGGCGGATGCATTAAAACTTCCCAATCAAGCTCCCGAAGTTTCTGGCGACTCACTGTAGATGTGTGTGGCCTAGCGTTGTCCTGGTGGAACACGACACCTCTCCTGTTGGCCAATTCTGGCCGTTTCTGGTCAATCGCTATCTTCAAACGGTCCAGTTATTGACAGTAGAGATCAGAATTTAGCGTTTGGCCATATGGAAGCAACTCATAATAAATAATCCCCTTCCAGTCCCACCAAATGCATAGCAAAACCTTCCTGGCCGTTTAAGGTGCTTCACCGCTCTTTGACCATGATCGTTTTCGCACAGGGTTATCGTATGTGATCCATTTCTCATCTCCAGTCACCATCCGTTTAAGAAATGGGTCTATCTCATTCCGTTTGGCCAAGGATTCGCAGATGGAAATTCGATCCATCATGTTTTTTTCTGTTAATTGGTGTGGCACCCAAACATCGAGCTTCTTTTTGAATCCAGCTTTGTGTAAATGGTTTAAAACTGTTTTATGGTCGATTTTTAGCTCCTGGGCGATGTTACGACTGCTAACATGCCGGTCAACTTCGATCATTTCTCCGATTTTATCGACATTTTCGACGACCGGCCTACCTGTGCCAGGTGCTTCTTTAATATCAAAAATTCCTGAACGGAATCTACGAAACCAAAATTGCACATAATTGGCTGTTACAGTATCGGAACCATAAACACCATTCACAATTTTAGCCGCCTGGCTTGCATTTTCGCCTTTGTCAAAGAAAAACTGTAAAATGTACCGAATTTTCTCTTTGTTCACTTCCATTTTTAACACGCTGTAACTCACGACTGAATGCACCAAACAAAAAACAGCAAAAGAATTTTTTTTACTGCGAAATGTCACCTTTCCAACGAGCATAAATCTGAAATTGTTTGATCGATACTTTACGAGAAATATATCAGTGCAGCCATCTACCGAAAAAATAATGGATTTCTTTTTCCCCAAACATTAGTTTGGGGATATAAGTAATGTACAAATAATACCAAGTTGATAAAGGATGTATATACACATATAACTGTGTTCTTGATTAGCAGTGGAATTTTATTCTGCGTCCTCGTTTATTCCTGTGTTGGATCCCTCGATTTTTTTCGATCATAGAGTTATTTAGATAATTTAGTCGCGTCCGTTTGTTAATTTCCGTTGAAGTTTTAACGGTTCCAACATTTGATATCTACTTTCTCTCCTCTCGAAATTTTCATGTATTCTTAGTGTCATCATAAGATATCCAGCTAATGTAGTCGGATCCCTTCGTTGGTTTCCTAGTCATATTTCGTTGAAGTTCTAATGACTTCAACATTTGATATCTATTTTCAAATTCGAAACCTTAAAAAATATTTTCAAAAATAATTATAAAAAACCCTTGGAAACAAAAAAAATCATCAATATTCCAGAATTTACCAAAACATAGCCTCTCTGAGCCTTTGAAGCTCTTTTCAACTTTGAATTGGATCAATATAATTAGATCGATTGAAAATTTTACTTTCTTTAAACGCGGAAAATCAGTAGAGATAGGTGAATAAAATTTCCTCGGAATGAATCCACGAACTCTTTCGAACTATGAAAGGAATGAAAACATATTTATTAAGCTCATCAAAACTATAAAGACGTATGGAATTGTATGCACAGCCCTTTTGACGCATGACTTAATGAGCTTTTAATCTTTTTCCCTTTTTTTTGTAATCGTTTAACTTTACACCTGAACCCTTTATAGTAAAGGATAAGATAATTGAATTAAAAAAAAGTATTAAATAAATGTATGAGTATGTGGTTAAGTAACGGATATAACAATGATTCTCAGGAAAGGCATGTTAATGTTAAATTTAACACAAAAAAAGGGACATGCATAAGACCTTTGTTTGTCTCGCGGTGAATCTCAGACACCCCTCGCATTCAATTTTCCTCCAGTTTTATATTCATTGCTAACATAGCGCACCGTTCGTCCATTAAATGCTTTCCATACAAATAATTACAAAATTTCAAATCAATGTAGATCCCCATAAGTTTTCATTTCCTAGCACGTTCATGCACACATCATGTGGTATGAAAATGTTGTTATATAAAACATGGTAGCACGTATGTATGAGCAAATGGCAATCTAAACAAATTTAGCCTTTTAAATATCGAAATGTAAGGCACGTGACCGGAAGTTTCTAACAGATCAAGTTCAAAATTTTGTAAATTCCTCTCGAAACTATAGACCGATTTTCCAGATTTTTGCATTTAATCTAGTTTTTGTAGTTGCTTTACCGTTAATTCAGCATATATTACGCAAGTAAATACGAGGGCTTGATACATGTCTTAAGTTATTTGTTTTTAAAGCTTAAATATCTGGCAACAACAAGCATTCGTAATACGAGCAAAGCAATATATATCAACGCAGACATACTCTTTCCAGCAGCAAAAATGTCATGTTTTGTGCCAAATAAAGAGTATTCGGCAATAGTCCTTTTACTATCGCTCGAAGGCCAAAGGGGAGCCTTTTTTTTTGCTTTGCAGCTGGGGATAAAAAGTAAATCTATTTTAAGAATCCCAGGCATAAAAATTCATAGGCATAGCCAGACGTAGAATTCAAATGGGCTGGGAGATCGAATCGTTTTGACAGGAGGACGATATTCTGTGTATGATGGCAGCAGAAAAGTGCGTCCTGTGGTACGCTTTTAAAGTCTGGTGAAACGAAAGTAATACTTAATCGGTTTGAGTAGTAGTAGTGGTAGCACCCACCACAAGGACACAAGATAATTAGTTTGCATTGCATCGTCCGCCTATCCGTCCACACAGGAAACCCGAGTTTGCGATATGTTAGATGCATTCAATTGGGAAGTGCCAGCCCATAAGGCTTACTCATCAAGTTTAAATTCTTCCGATTACCCTTTGTGTGCAATGATGCGCCAGAAAAGCAACTTCTCTTCTTAAGCGAATGTACGGTTTGGTTTAAAAGAGCAAGGGTTTCCATGACGGGGAAGAAATCTGTAGCTAGCGATAGACAATACTTCGCATAAAATATTTTTTATCATTAAAGAATTATTTTTAATACAAAAAGTCTGCTTTCGTATTTACATACCTGATACATTACTTAACCAGTTCGTAGAATAACATATAGGTATAGGCCGACGATTGACAAATTCGCTTGACTTTTAGATAGCATCGACCTTTCATGATATCTCCAGCTTGATGCTGCACACGATGTTCAGATTTTTTCCTTGTTTTACAAAAGCAAAAGTAATGCAGTTGTACTAGTAGTACCAAAATTTCTCCGCAAAGGAAGATAATTATCAAGTCATCAAAACCCTGTTCACGAGCTGCTGTCTTGACTCTTTGCCCTTTTATGTTACATTGACAGGTGAAAATTGTTAACGATCTTTTAACTGCTTCAGTTGTCCCCTTATCTTGACAGTCAGTGTAAATTGACGCCGCTAATGACAAGGATTGGCTTAATGTTTCATTAATACCTGGATGAGCGTCTATAGGCTTTTAGGAATGATGACGAAGCAGAATCTATTCCACACCTAATGTATTATATACTACTACAGAAGACTAAAGAAATAAAGAATTGCATCTCTGACTGATTTATGTCTAATTGATGGTTCATTCCGCACTTGTTGTTCTTTTCTTTCCACTTCCTTGGTAAAGGCGGGAAAAGCTTTTTCAAAATATTTTTCACAAGTTCGTTTTATCTTAACGTCTAAAGCACAAATTGGGTTACAAACTAAACAATAAACTTTACATTCCGATCGCTTTTAAGAGGAGAGCATTGGTTAAGAAGAAAAAAAAAGGACAAAGCGTATTTTTATAGCGCATTTTTATATTGAAGCGCATGATCCCCAAAAACATTCGTCGTTTCTTCTTGTGAAATTTACGAGTGACTTAGCCAATTATTGTCAACAGTAAAATGATAATGCATTGGTTGACAATCATGCATACATATCCTTCAAACATTATAAGCAAAGAAATATGCATATGGAAATTTTCATTAAAATTCCGCTTTGAATCCTATACTATGCAGCAAACATTAAATAAATAGTTTAACTATTCAACGAGGGACAATGGAAACATACATAAATTTTAGTCTTAAAACGACAACAGGTGACAAGTAATGCATAAATAGATAGACGTCAGCATATTTTTATGTAAAATTACACTAACACCAATACACTTCATTGTTTTCTATTGAACGAATGCTGGGGATATATAAAAAGTCAAACGTTATCAGATAAGCGTTCAGTTACTTTCGGTTGAAAGTTCAGATAAGTCTGTTGTTAGCTTAGGAAAAAAGCAAAAAAAATATATTAAAAATCAAAAAAAAAAAAAAAAAAAAAAAACAAAAATTATCAACATTCTCGAGTTTATAAAGTTTTGAAAAAATAATTGTAAAAGCAATTTTTGGAAATTTTTTTTTTTTTTTTTTTGAAAAACATTCTTAGGCAGGGAACGAAGAAAATGTGTACAAATATTTGTACAGAGTGCATTTAACATGAACTAAAATATATATATATATTTTTTTTTTAATTAAAAATTTCGAATTTTCATGGAATGGAAGAAAATATTGTTACCGGATGAATATGATGTTAAGCCATTTATTCAGACTGATTGTTATACTAGGACTCTTGTTTGCGGTGAGAGGTAAATAAAGTGATCTGTATTACATATATAAATATAAAAATGGGCCGATAAATGTTGTTTGACGCATGCTTGTTCTATAATTTTACGAAATGTGTAATCACCACAGGACGAATTTTTTTACATATGTACGCGAATGTTGCGCGTTTTTTTGAGCCATGAAACTTGTGCACTCACAATTATTTAGCTCTAGTTTAAGCGGTTGTTACGTTCCAGAATTTCTTATGGGACGATCTCTTATTTAAGATAAACTGAGAATCATACTTACTGGATAGCTTTGATTTGGCGTGAAATTTCGATGATACGAAAAAAGGGACAATGTGAAATATTCGTTTTGAGAAATTATACAATCATTTCCTGGAGCATTTCTGCCAAAGAAAGAATTATATTTATCCGTACCTTCTATATGCTGCATCTTTCATCCAAGTTGCTTGGGCAATTTTGGGCAAGTTTATGCTTTCATGTGCTATACGGGCTTTAATTTTATAATATATTAAGTGTTTGCAAATATGTTGATCATTGAGAAAAAATGAAAGTAAAAGTCTAACAGATAGTCGATTCGACAATTGCTAAATTGTTCGAAGGTCTTTGAAAGTTTGATCTGCGGTTTCGTTCAATAAGTGTTGGAATTCATTGTTTTCAAGGTTTTTGGTCATCGGTTCAGGCCGTTCTTTGTCATTGACATCAGAAGTACCACTCTTAAACCGTTGAAGTCAAAACCCAAAATTGGAATATAATGGAATGGCATCACCATAAGCTTCTGAACGTGCACGGTGGATTTTTTGGACAGGATTAAGCAAAAAAAGTAATTAAGGCTGAATATTCAATTTTGACCGCTCCATAGTTAGTGCTGATTTACGCTGAACAACTTAATAATATTTAATGGGAAACTGTTATCCTTAGCTAGAGAAAAATCATTAAAATAATTGAATTGAGACGTTATGTACACTAGTATTTCCCACTTCTTTATGATTTTTACTTATACAAAGCGCTGATCAAAATTTTTGCAAACACCTAACACATACTAACAAGTGCATAGATTAATGAAAGCAACATTTTAAATAGCCTAAACACGGCCTTAGCCTTTACGAATGTAGTTCCCTTATTACAAACATTTTTAACCTCATGGAATGACGAGTAATAAAGACAATTTGCGATCCAAACAATTTCAAGCACAACGCTGTCAAACACATGCATTTCGAGCGATTAAATCACTTAAATATAAAGCAGTTATCGCATTTGGAAGGTAATACAAAACCTTTTTCCGAATTGAAAGTTTAAACCCATTTTTGTCCAAACCGTGTCGCATTCTTCAACTGCAGCATCGCAATAAGAACAAGCCTATACCACTTGTGGCACAGGATGTATGATTTTAATGCGGACATATGTTACGCTTAGAAGGACTTAAGACAGACCCACCTTTTATTATTCAGATCGATTCTGGATTATAATCTGATTTGATCTAAGTCTGTCTGTCCGTCTGTTTGTCTGATGTCTGTCCATGTGAAATTGTGTTCAAGCTACATGTCGCAATTTTTGCGATATTTTGATGAAATTTGGTACAATGGCATGTTTTAACCCAAAGGCGGCCGTTAATTAGAATGGTTCGCATCGGTCCACTTTTTCCACCACTTGCCATAAAACGCCCTATTTTTAAAATTTGTCGGTAAAAGTGTTTAAGTAGCATTCTAAATTGGTATAAAAACTTTGCACCGCCTGGGGCCATTTTTGAAACCTCAAGGGTGAATGTGAATCCGAAAGTGGTTCGGATCGTTCCACTTTCTCGACCGTCCTCCGCATTCCGAAAACCATTATATGGGAAAAAATTATAATTTTCAAAATTTCTCGGCAAAAGTGGTTAAGGCATTCTGAATTAGTATGAAAGCTTTGGGCTGGCTGGACCATAGGCCGCTTTTCTAACATGATACAGAAGTTTTGAGAAGAAAAAATGTAAGATAAATATCAAGACGTCATCTAGGCAAAAACAAGAAAAAGATCATTGCGTCCTAAAATACTGTAAGGAAAAAGGATTTTCAGAGGTAACGCGGGCATGACGAAATCGATTTCTTACACTTATTCAAATCATGTAAGTTAAATCATTCACAAGCGTGGAAATGTGACATAAAAGTGGCGTTGAAAGCAGAAAAATTACCCATTGACATGATAGGTTTGACAGTTCACTGTAACAAAAAAACATAAGAGATTGTAGTCTTATTTGCGTAAGCTCGGAATGAAATAATGTATAGGAACGAAATTTATGTGCTACCTAGAAAAAAGCGAGGAAAAAAACAGAAGTATGGAGTGGCCGCAGGATGGTGGGTGCATGTTCACTGGTGGGTACGACTCTTATCTATCCGCCTACGCGGCTGCTCGTTGCAGAGCCCTAGGTTCTAAAGTTCATCAGCACCGCAAAAAATTTTCAATCTATTTACGATATGTAAATAAAACCAAATATGATAAAAAACAAAGAAGCAGACAGATGGACAGACATACTTAAGCCCACTCAGACAATGATTTTGAGTCGATGAGAAAATGATCCTAAATCGATCGATATAAATAAAAAGTACATATATCTTAAGTCCTTCTGGATAGTACAACCTATACGTGTGAACAAACTTCATATTCCGCGTGGTGTTGTATATAAACTGTTGCAAATTTTTTTATTTCAGCGCATCCTCCTGAAAGAGTTTTCCTCGAAGTCTACAACGCTAAATCGAACAAGAATAATTAGATCTGTCACGACGAGTCTGCATTCCTACAAGTAATAAAACAAAATAACAAAAACGTTATACATCAAAATTTACCTATAGCACAATTAAATGAAGGAGATCCAAGGCGATTTAATTAAAAATTCGAAAAAATTATATGACACAAAAAAACGGGGTAAAGGGACTGAGGACTGCAATCGAAACAATGGTATCGTAATTAATCTAGATAAGCAAAAACATTCGCATATGTGTTTGAAAGTGTGTACGGTATACAACCAAAAAAAAGTCACAGTAAAAGAAAATGAAATTTATTGCTTTTGTTTCAAAAAAAGTGTTGTTGTTGAAAAGGGTACGCACTTGAGTTCCATCTCAAAATTTTCCCTAAAATTTTTAAAATTGTGTCATGTAAAATAATCTGCATGATGATGATGATGGATCCGGTGAGGACTTCTTTAATCAACAAAGCTACAAATATTTGTCGATTGCTTCATAAACTTCATAATATTTGTACCAGCCGTAATCTAATTGCTTAACTCACTCCATATTATTGCAAGCCAGTTAATGTAGCAAAGTTCAAAGTGTGAAGGTGTGTCTACATGAACAATTAGCCACTCCATTAAGTGAGAATACCGACATACAATATGTAAGGGACAATTTCTCATAAAAGTAATATGTTTGAAAAATTTACTAATAAACAGGTGCGTTCCTTATTCTCGGCTTCCTTATGTCACATTATAGGCAAAGAAAAATAAAATATTTTGCTCGAACTGAATACAATTTCTCTTATAGAACAATGATGCAACAATTTACACATACAATAGAATAACCTGAACGATTCCATAAGTAGTTGGTTGCCTTCCTCGCATACGCACACTATCATGAACAAACCGACTGCGCACAGTGTATATTCTTGATCAGCACGAGATTTAAAGTATATGTCTATATAGCGACGCATCCTGCTTGTCATTTGTTGTTAGAATTCCTACTGTCATTAAAATTGAGATACAACACTGGCTGATGGTCACAGATAAATTTTAAAAGTGGTTGTGGTCCACTCAAGGGCACTATCACAAAACGCCGTAGCATCTATGTAACAGATGTAATGGCAAATACTGCACACATATTCCATAGGAGAATATTGCATTACCGGTCACTACCACTACGGTGGTTATCATACATCCATCCCATTAAGTCTTGCTCGTATTTTTATTTTCATTATGTCCACCGTCATTATAACTTTGCTACCGTTCGTAAAGTGGAAATACACGCATCCTACATAATAGCAGGCATGTCCATTTCCAATCAAAGCAAGATTGTGTGTCCAAACCAGTTTCAGCGGTTGACTGTAGGCTCCCTACTGCAGCATATAGACGCAAAAGGAGGAATCTCTCATATTAATTTTTAGTTAATGGGCGGAAAAAGTCAATCACTAGTCAATCCATATAAAATTTTGTATAAATATTTTCGAGTTTCATCTAAAAGCTGAATATAAAACTGATCACTAAACTGAATATAAGAAGTTTCAATTTTTATGTTCTGGAAGGAAAACTACGCCATTTTTAATACATTTCAGGCATTACTACGCATCAAAAGTACTATAATCCAATGGATTTAGTTTTTGAATTAAGAAAATGTTACATGTTCGGAATTTCAATATTTTAAGCAAAGTGCGCTACATCCGCACTACGTTAGTTGAACTTGAGAAATAAATGATATAATGCCTGAGGTGATGATCACTTCATTAGCACTTTAATTCGAATGCCTGGGAACTCGAGTTTTTCTTATACGGCTCGCTATTCTTTCACTGTTATCTACATTTTGTAATCCTAATAGAACTCTTCAGTAACTAATAATAGCTCCGTTTATATAATAAATTGATTGGCAATCAGGAGAAGCATCACGTAAACCCTTGGTCCACTTGATATCTTCAGTTTTGCGAACAGGGGAGTGCCAACAACAAACGCTACTCAGACGGGCAGACGTGGCTCAAGTATATATAGGGTGTCTGAAGTTTCTTTTTGGTTGTTACATCCGTTATGAGAAAAAAACCCCCGTTCTTCAGTGGTGGGTATAAAAATTCTTTTCAACTTGTGACGTCTTTGTGTTGTTAGTCAGCTTATGGGTTATGAGTGAGAATTAGAAAAATTCCCGTTTTTCATCTTTTAACAACCATTTTGCATGATTTTACTTAAATGCTTTTCTATTTTTAATTTCACCTGCTACGTTAAAGTTCTTCCCTTAAATGCCGCATTCAACGGCAGACCATCATTGTCTGCCTTCTCGTGGAATGATTATCGTTTAGATGATGACAGTGATGTCACGGATGATTTGTTAAATAAACGTATGCAAATTTGGTACTACACACGGCCGCTTTACCTTCACCATGACCCGACACCGACAATCCGCCAACAAAGTCAATCAAATGACGGAAATATTCTACCGAACAATATTCATATTGACAGCAATGACAATGAACCGGAAGTTGTTGATGGTAATAGCAACACTAACAACAACAATAACAACAACATCGATAGTGAATTGCTTCCTGCTATTAAATGTCAAAGAAACTCAAAGCGCACTTTAAGTACACAACAACAACAAAAATTGCTGCGTTTATACAATAAATTGCAGAGAGACAACGATTTCAAAGAAAATTCCAAATATTTAATAAACAATGGGCCAGCAAACTACCTACAACAACCGCAAACTTCACAATTAAAGGGTAGTGTTCACGACATCGACAAGGATTTATTACGGAAAAATGAAAATGATGGCAATGGCAATGGTAACGATGATGATAGTGAAAATGATTACAATCGTATTGACAGTGACAGAGAAAATCATCAAAATCTGGATTCGAAAGCAAATGCCGATCAGCTTTTTAGAGCATATGTCAAACGAATGAAATATCAAGAGAAACAACAACAACAACAAACATTCTTACCTTCTATTAGTGGTGGTAAGTTATGATAATTTTTTAATTATCGAAAATTTTTGTTTAAATTTTGTTTTGTTTTTGTTTTTTTTCGGAAGGTGTTATGACAAATTTGGGGAAATTTTTTCGCGATCTCTCAAAAAATGTTCACTACAGCGAACAATATCGTTGGGATGAGAATGAGCAAAAATTATTGGAAGGTCATCGGGCGATAGCCAGTTTTCAAAATCATCTTCCGGATGGATTACCGGATCATAAAAATCAAACGGCTCATAATGCGGAACTGATACAAGCGATACGTTTCTATAGGCCGTCACAAAAAATACGCTCGTTAGTAATGATGAATCCTCATGGCCAGTGGTCGCACGATTCAAAGTTTATCGATCCTAACTATATGTGGGTGGGTTTGGGCAAATAACAGTAAAAAGAGATTCGTAGGAAATTTTTATAAAATGAAACAAGACATATATAGATATATATATATATATATATATATATATATATTATATATATCAAAGTTCTTCTTTTTATCATACTAGTCATCATATCAAATGAATAAAACACAACGATTGCATTGATGTTACATACATAGTTGCAAACCTATTGTGTGCTGATTTCGAATTATAAAATAAACATATATACGAAGATTTAGCACGTAAGATTTCGTTTTCGTTCGTTTAAAAAAAAAAAAGAAAAAAAAAAGAAATTATTTACCTTTTTTTATATCTGCAATACCTGATCCGAAAATATTAAAATCTTCGGTTCTTTTCAAGTTTATTCACTCTTTGAGTCAATCGTTAACTTTTATTCGAAAATGAAGAGATCCGTGAGGATAAAAACCTACGTAAGAATTTGGATAAACTGCACAGATTGCAGAAAACTCTATGATCCAAATACTAAAAAAACTCCCAGCATACCCATAAAGTCATATAATAAATAAAATAGGAAAGTGACAAGCTGGAACCTTTAGAAAATTTGAAAAGTGCTTTGCATCTTTGAGGGAAATAAACATGAATAATAAGCATATACTGGTGCAGCTGGTTTCCTCATTAACCCTCATTAAAAAAAGCAGCAGCATTGACCTTATTAGCTTCTGCTTCGGCGATTTCTGTCGTGGCTCTTTTACGCTGTTGATACTTACAGGTCTGATGGCTTGCCAGATTTGATTTTGCTGAACCGAAAACTTCACCTATTAAAAGAGACGTTGTAATAAAACAAGTAAAACATGAAGCATTTCTCATTTAAAATTTCTGTGTCCGCGGAGTATATTTGAGCGTTCGTTGAATAAGAAATTCTGGCCAGAAGGCGTCTTGATTAAGGAAATAAATTGTGGCCTGCGACTGCGTTAAAAAAATTAGATGCCCAATCATTTAATGTATGTTTAGTAGTGTGCTGGAATCTTGATTGCGGTACGTGCTGCAATCAGGAGAAAGTTGCTTTCTCTTTCAAGCTAAATAATGTTGAATTCATTTGTGTCCGACTGAAATCATCTATACACGGTCCTCGTATTAACGGTTCTTGCATACCTCTTTCATCCCTTTACTTGTCTTATACCCATTCTTATCTCTCCAGCGGACTATAATACGACAAGTATTAATCATTCAGATTATTGATCGGGAAATTGAATTTTATATTCCGTGTTATTCATCGGTTCCTTATGATTCTTTATTTGAAGAGCTGTATACAGTTGAATATGGTACCACAACTCAGGTGATAAAATATTGAATTCAGTATTTCTGCAAATTATAAAGAATATCTCTTATTGGACGCTTTATTCGGCAGCAAGATTTCTTTCATCCGATGACTTGTCTTTCTTGTGATATTATAAAGAATTAAATATTCTTTTTAAAGTATGAATCATCGTATCATCGAATCTCATTTCATTGTAATAAACTGGAACTCTGATGCTGTATTAGAAATTATAAGAGTGCACTTTTTAGAAAGGGTAAGGAGAGTTGTTCTCTTATTGGTTTCCCTTACCAAATTCTCAATAATAAATGTTCGTCAGACCTTTTATAAAAAACCCGATTAAATTAAAAAAAAAAATCCCTGAAGTTTTCGCAGTTTTGTGAATTGATTTGCCTCCGCATATGCATCCGAATCACGGACTATTTCTAACTTGTTTGCAAACTTTGATCACATTGCCACTCAATAAGACAAGGATAGCTTATTATCTCCGCGTTTTAGGATATTTGATACGAGTTATGATATTTTTTGATATCTTTAGTCCTGACGGCATAGCCTCGCGTATTCTTATCAAATGTAAAGGTATTTTGCTTAAACCCATTAGGGATTTTTTTATTTTATCTGTGTCCAGTAAGAGTTTTTCCTGTTATCTGGAAGTGTAGCGCTATTTTACAATTACACTAAGACTTGTTGAAAAACTTTTGAACAGTTTATCAGACATATCTCGCCACGCAACCAAGCTTGGTTTCTAGTTACAGATTAAAAAATACAACTCTGATTGCTTAATTTTTTTTTTTGGGAGATTTTTTGATTGGTACGAAAATATCATATTTAATTTTCAAAATATAATTTATTGGCATTCTAAATTACCGCAAATAATTTTTATAATTTCCTTTGAACACTGTTCGCTTGTATATTTAGATAAGATGAGGCGAGCGGATGCGAATGTTTCGTTGGTTTAAAAGCGACAAAATTTGTAATCTTCTGGTGATGCTTGTCAAACCATTCGTCACAATTTTCCGCTGGATCGTACTGCGTTGATATAATGTGTACAACGATACGCCTTTCGGGTCATCTGCGGCCTATTAACGATTTGTACAAGACTATTAGCTCTGGCTCAGTGATTATACGCAAAAGAGCGACTTCAGCCTCGCTTCGATCGAAATGATATTGAGCTAAAGCGATTTCATTACAGGATTGATTAAATTGATTGTAAACCGCTTTCGGCTTTTTCACTTTCTTAACAGTCAAAGCTTTCTTACGACGTTGAAATTCTTCCGAAAGCATTTCTTCAATTATTTGCCAGTAATTTTTTAGGAAATTCTCAATAAGATGTTCTACAAAGAATGGATGTTTCACAGATTGAACAACAATATAAACACCATTAACACCATTCACCAGCACCATACTTAGTTTCATAAAAGGGCTCAACAAGACCTGGACATTTCTCGTAGCTTTGATCCACTAAAACCATCCGACACTTGGTTGGCAACAATTCATTTGGAAGTTTCGTTATGAGACCCGGCTTCCATGCGTTATTCAGAAAGGTTCCTTTCACGAATTCTTCCAAGAGGTAAATCTGCATAGAAATCACTGCATCTGTTTGTCTTGCGTGGATAAGACTGGGATCCAACATTATCTCCATAGATTCAATTTGCCTAGTCCTGAACGTAGAAGATTAATCGTTAGAATAACGCATTTAATGAAACCCCCTAAGTTAAAACTTTATTATACCCTTCATTTACAGTAGGCTTAGATGAACTCAGATTATGATTCTGAATCGATTGGTATTATAAAAGATGAGTCTATCTAAGCCTGTTTGTCTAATGGCTGCACTTACAAATTTGTGTTCAAACTGTATGTCGCAAATTTTTGAGCGCAAATGGTCTTCGACGCGGTTTTAAGAATACTGGTACAGAGTCATTTTTTACTATAACTCCGGCTTCCGTGTTCTTTACTTCACTAGCAGAGATGTCCCCAGTTTATATAGTACCGTTCAATACCAAGCTGCATGTTCTTTACTTCACTAGCAAAGATGTCCCCAGTTTATACAGCACCATACAGATGTCCTTCAACCGATTCAGGCCATTTTCATTACCAACCTGCGTACAAAAACTTGCAATGTTTCTGCACCTTTCAAATCGATGGTTTCATTTTTATGGCCAGGAGAATGTTTACAACAGACATAGTATAAACGGACAGACGGACATGTTTAAATCGATTCGTACTAATCAAGAATATGTACATTTTGTGGAGTCTCTGAAGCTTCTTGCTGGGCATTGCAAACGTTTTGACAAAATGAATACACCCCTCATCGATCGGTTATGGGTATAATAATAACCATACAGTTGAAATTTAAAACATTGCGCTCCCAGCAAGTAAAACAACTGCTGCTGTTTTACGCTCAACTCATGTTTCAGTTGTTTCAGAAGTAACCACCATCGCGTTCCCAGCAAGTAAAACAACTGCTGCTGTTTTTCGATCAACACTTGCTTCAGTTATTTGAGAAGTATATAACTACTATTAAAGCCAATTAACGCCGTAGACGTCTTGCTTTTATTTCTGTCAAAGTAACTTAATTGCTTTACTTTTTTATGGGATTGATAGTATCGTACAAATGAAGATAGGAAGTCGAAATTTCGCACTTACAATACTCAATTAGTTCCTGAATGACCTTGTCATGAAAATTCTTCTTCTTTGGAATTTATGTAGCGTATACGTAATTTCTCTGAAATTTCGTATCTCTTCGAACTTTCAAGTTTTGAAGGAATGGTCATGAGATCCAATTTTTTTTTAGAATTACACAACGAATAATATATATAATCTCTTCAACTATAGTTTCATTTGTTAGCCTTGGTTTCCAATTTGAACCCCATAATTATTCAACAATAAAAAAAATTTGGAAATACTCTCGTAAGTTCACCGTCATCTATTTTAAATTATTTTATTATACAAGCTAAAAAAGCCAATCAGACAACATGGCTGGAGCGATGCTATTGATTATGACTGGCATATACTTCCATCTATAGAGAGTGAATGGCATTCTATTCTATATTATCGTTTTAATAGAGAAAAGTATAGATATGCAGAATAATAACAGTATTACACAATGAGTCATTGCAACTAGTATGCATGTATCGTGATGATCACTTGGAAGTTTTAATGACTTGCTTAATAATGTTGGTATAACCCATCGGCCCAACGATTGGAAAATAAATACTATTGAATAAAATATTAATTTCAAGAAACCACTTTTTTTTCTCGAATTATCAAGACTTTTATCCGAAGGCAACATGATATGAAAATTACCGTTAAAAGCTTTTTCTCCGTATATTCAATTCATGTTCAATTCCAACAATTTCAACAACGAAGCCAATATGCTCCATTAGACAAAGAATAGTTCTGCTCATGTATGGAAACGTAAACTATTTTAGGTATTTTAGATATTTGGCAAGTTAGTAATTCTGATATAGACCGGTGATCGTTTTTTATGTCGTTTTTATTATGTCTGTGTACGGTTTTTTCAAATGCGTGCCTCATTTACTTTCCGAAAAATCTACTATGCGTCCTTCTTAAAAAAAAAAAAAAGGATAAAAACTTTTTTTTTTCTTTATTCTGCTTTCGCACCTGCTTTTTTTACTGTCTTGAAATAAAGCACATAAAAAAGCGCAACTGGAATTTTTTAATATATTTATTAACAGATTTCTTATGATCGTCGCATTGGTCACTTTACATGCAAAATCCAAGTAGTGCTTGACACAGAGTGAAATTAGCTATAATCGTCTATTGTGGTATTTTAGATAATGAAATAAATCTTTATTATTTTAACCAAAATATATTTTGTATAAATATGTTCTGCATATAAAATGTCCATCTGTAAACATTGAAATTTTTTAATTGTTAATAGAAAATTTTGTACCTATCGTTTTGTTTTTCGGGGATTTTTTCTTCTATTTAAAAAAAATTGTAAACAAATATTGATAATGGATATGGGGTGCTTTTTCGATATCACTTTTAATTTATTTAACTTCGTAAGGTAATCGAGTGTAATCGGGCAAAGTAGTTGGCGCAGTTAACAAGCGCTGCTGTTGATCACGATTGGCACGTATTTGCTTATACAGAGAATAAATCGCATTCCAGATAACGATTTGGATAACTAAAAGTATAGGTACACACACAACAATAAGAACAACATAACGCTGATAGTTTTACTATCACACTATTTATATGGAAATTGTAACGACTCACCGAGGCTTATGCCAGTATATAGTAATGTTGGTATAGCTACACCCACGGGCACATCTTTAAATATGCTCACAAAAATCATATATACAAAATTCACGGCGTTGAAGAAAATAAATATATATGCGTTGATAAGCCAAGGAGCTAATAGTAGGTGGCGTTCCTATTATCAAAATTGCAATCAATAAATTATTCTAAACATCATTATTTCCGCTTACCTTAACAGTGCCAATGATTAGTAACATAGAGGCAATCACATTGGCCAAACTGGTTGTCAAATATACGCTTATTGCAATAAGCACAACTGTAAAACAAACAAAAGAAATTCTTGTTATTGACTTAATGCCCATCGACCCATATGCTTTCCTTTATACTTAGGCGTATATCAACAGAATCGAGATCCGAGTCAGGACCAATACTTTTATAGATGGCGTCCACAATATCATCTAGGCGCGTAAGGCCTATAGATAGCAAAATCGTGGACAACAGTCCTCCCACCAAATTTAGCCAGCCAACCACCATACCCACAGTGGATAGTCGTAAACCACACAAATTATTCATATTTTAATTTTCTTCGATAACCGCTATAATACAAATCTTTTTATAAAGTTTGGGAAATTAAACCTATTTACTTTGATAATTAATTCGCGATTGAAATCAGTGACTTGCCGTCCAGCTATAGCGTAGCAATTTTAATTAAAAATTTTCTTTCTCTGAAATACTATCAGTTCAATTCCATATTGTTCCGAATGCAGATTGTGAAATTAACAATGATGTCAACGCAACAAGTTAAACTTATTACGGAACGTAAAGTTGCAATCGAGCTGCCACATAGCAAGAATTTTAGGGAGATTTTGCACAATGAAGCTTCACTTTGCCCGTCACTCTTGTAAATTATAAGATAAGTCGTAACATAGTAGATGTACTGAAAAGTGTATCTAGAATGCAATTTAAAGCTTATTCAGTAAAGTATTTCATTGTAAAAATTGTGTGAGCAGCGCAATAACAGGAATTTTAAATTATGTGAGTAAGAGGAAGAATTGTAAAGATTATGCAAGCAAGAACAAGAATTTTAAAAATTGTGTTCAACTGTCAAGTAAGAAAACAATTTTTTTTTTAAATCGTTTATTCACTTATTGATAAGTTTGCTTTTTTTTAGAATTACAAATCAGTTTTGAAAATGGATGAAAACATTGAATCAAGCAAAGAAGTAAACAATATATACGCACCAGAAAGAGCTTTTGGTGACCAGAACAATAAGACAATAGTAGACATAATATTTGAGGACTTTTCTACAACGCCTTTTAACAGTCCTATAGCATCGCCTGAGAGAACATTAAAAAATTTGGAACGGAGTCCTTTATTTATATTACGATAGAAACCAAAGCGTCCGTGAATTTAAAGAACAGGCGAAATCAAATTTGGAGGAAAAATTCAAGGCCGCTATTGATGGCAATGAGAATATGAATACATGTTCATTGTTGCATGATAAGCATTTTTTGAATTCTAAAATGTCATACGATTCTACGCCAGAAACAGAAAGTAAGTGGCTCTTTATAGGCTTTTTTTTAACAAGTCTAACTTTGTACATTCTTCTTAGGAAAAGCTTCAGATCGTTGTTACGAAGATATCGAGAAAGACGACACGTACACTGTAAATGAAAATAAGTTGTTTTTAAAATTTGTGAAGAGACAATGTTTAAGTTAATCCAAAATTTTTCAGCTTTAGTGCCATCTAATCAGTGTAAAACTGGGGTAAGTAAAAATGATGATTGGGATGAAGATGACGATGCCTTTTTTTCCTCCATTAGCACACAAGAAATCTTAGATCAAAACGAGAAGATCAATAATAATAAAAATAATAACTTTCCCAAAATATCTAAGTTTCAACCAAATAAGCAGATAACCCAAGTTATGGATGGATTCCTCACCCTTTTTTGATGCTTATTTTTATAATTTTTTTTTTATTTTTGCAGGTTTTCAAAGAGCGAATGGTAAAAAAATCTCCATATCGGAAGAACGCAAAATATCCATACAAAATATTCGAAGAGAATTTCAAGACGATTTGCAGGACACGGATTATGAAACTGAATTAAAAGATATAAAAGCTCGGATATCGAATAAAAGTATGGAATCCAAGTTTAGAACAACCACAACCAGAAAAAGACTATGAAACTGGAAAGAAAGGTACAAAAGATCGCAAGGAATTCAAATTTAAAAAAGTGGCAAAGAGCAGTGCACAAGCCGACAAAAAACGCCGGAAAAAAACGCGTGGAAGGCTTCCTAAACAGATTTCATCAAAGTAAAAGTGATGGTGATATTGAGGATAATTTGGTTCGTATAAAAATTAAAGTTATTTCTAAAAATCAAAGTATGCTGTCTGAAAACAAGCAGGAAAGAAGAAGGAGATTACCCCAGTTGTAGCAGAAACTTGTCAATAGATGAGAAAAAATCGAATATAAAAGTTGAAGAAGAGAAAAGTGAATGGGTTCCTACTCAAGATAATTCAAAGCAATTTTTATGTCAACAGACCGATGATATATTGTTGGCTCTCGAAACAAACCTTTTTAAAATCTCAAAATACATGCCAACATTTAAACACCGGGCATTCGACTTTGAATGTTCCAATGATGTTTCGTAAAAGTCGCTTGTTGGCATTAAACCCAAAATTGAATTTTAGATCACCCAATGAATTCTGTGATACACCCAATAGAAATTCATTAAAAACCGAGACTACGACACCCGAATTAGGGGAGTTTCTTAAAAATGCTGTTGAAACAAGCACACCATGCATCAATAGGAAATTGCCCCTTCTGAAAATGGAAATGGAAAAAGATCCCGATACAGTATTAACGGTAAACCAATTTTACGGAGAATCACAAAACATTTAATTATCGATAAAGGGAACTGCTTTTGCACTTTCGTGGCATCTGAAAAGAAAATCAAAAACAAAAAATTTGCTTAATAAATATATCTCTTTTCCTTTGCTTAATATTCGTCTTAAAAATAATATAAACTCCACCTATCTGTATCCTTATAAAAATTTATATAATTTTCAGGCATGGGAATAAAAATTAAGCATATAGAAAACAATACACACGAACATAATGCAGCCGCGCATCCCTAAAACCTGTTAAACTTTTTCCAAATTGTCGCTTGGTTCTGTATGTACGCTAACAAAAGAAGCAAAAAAAAAAAAGGTAGAAAAAGAAACAAAGGTTTCAAATTTAAACACTGTTTATCTAATATTACACTTCATATTATATTATTTTAACCCCGTTTTCTGCATTACATTGCATAACATTTCTGTGTTCAGTACTGAGAAGTCCAATTATAATTTGTTTGGATTACCTACAAATAGCCGGAAATGTGTAACTACAGCATGGCCCATGTGGTTAGGTTGGAACACCTGCTTTAATTACAATTGTCGCATCACCGCAACTATAGTGAATGTTCGATAGGTAATGGAGTAACACTTAACTATATATCTCCCAGCCTGCGATCACACGCTTTCCGCTTTTCCCTGCTTTCATTCTCGCTGACGATCACCGCTTTCATGCGTGCGTATGGGAAATTTTCAGAGTGGATTGTTCAGAAAAAAGTTACAACTTCTCTTAATATTTATATATATATATTATTTATATTTATTTGTTTATTATCGATATATTTTGTAAAAAAATTTACAAAGTATGGATTTCAAGGCTGCGGATAACTTAGAGCATATGCTCGCCTGCATTGAAAACTCTATCGCAGTTAAGATTTGAACCCATGACCATTGAGTTATAATTCGCGATACTTTGCCTAATCAGCTGCTCAAGGGAATTTTCCTAGTCACGGCCAGCTACGCCATAAGAACGTAAAGAAAGCAAACAAATATTCCCTAGTTGTGGTAAAGAGCGTATTAAGTTTGTGCGGATATATAGAAAACCCAGAAGGAGTTAAGATAGAGTTACTTTTTAGCATACCATGTAATTCAGATGCACCATATGAATCGATCTAGGCTTGTCTATCCGACTGCTCCTCTGTGTCCCTAGTGATGATGTATTGTCTTAAAGTGAAGGTGGCAAATTTTTCTGTGATATTTTGACGTCGAACACTATTGCAAATGAATTAAATCAAACTATATTTACGATCACTCCCTGCACAATGTCTTATTTTGAACAACTTTTAGGATATCGGGTTCATTTTGATAGTTTTTTCACTTCTAAAAGGCAATTATTTTGGGCAATTGGTACAACATAGATTAGACAAAATAGTTTCCATAATTTTGTACAACATTTTATAATATTTTGGCGACATATCATGTCGGCAGAACTTATATTGATTTGGCAGTAATCCACCCACCAACCCATTTTTGCACTTCTTCAACTTTGCAGATCCACGTGCCAGCCAAGCCATACCGTATCGATCGGACTAAGTGGTAATCAAGAAGCGATATGCCCAGTGGGTATGCTGCTTGTGGCAGAATTTCCCCTTCGAGAGGCAACAGTATATCCTGGACCATTCTTGCAAGAAGTGGGCAAGAAATGGTATTTTCAGTCAATTTTTATCGCCACTTTTAAACCATTCGAACCAAAATCGACAATTGGGATACGACGAAGCAGCAAGATCGTAAGATTCTAAAGGTGTTTAGTGGGCCTCGGCAGCAGATTTCTTTAAATAAACAACAAAAATAATGAATTTAGAAGAAAAAGAACTTTGAGCGTTTCATGATTACTGTGCTTATCATGAAAGCTGTTACTCTAAGTAGAGAAAGGTCTAACGTATCAAATTTAATCGTTATATACGCTGGTATTTCCCATTTCTTTATAATTTTCAAATGTAGAGGTTGTGTGAAAATTAACGTCCTAATGTCCTAACATTATATGCTAAAATATCGCTAATGGTTAATTTTCAAAATTTATCGTCAAAAATCGCTAATCGTTGACGCACTCTAAACGGATGTATAAGATTTTAGAAAAGCCCTCTCACGAAATTAAGCCTCCCTATAAACAAAAAAATATCTACTTTTTGGTCTATATAGTGTGATTTGATATAAAAAATAACTTCTTTTTTTCGGGGCCCGCGCCAAATAAGGGTTTCTATGAGAAGCAAGCTTGTACATGGCAAGAAACCCTAATGTTTAGTACTTTATCACGAATATGTTTGTCAAAAATAATAAAATGTTTGATAAGAATAATTATTTAACTAAATATTGATTATGTTAGGTTAGAATTTGGGGGTCGATCTGATATGAAAAGTCTGCCATTATATGGAATAGTTGAAAAGTTGTATTGGGAAATGTGGTTGTTGGCCTTGCTCGATTATAATGATCGGACTCCCTTTCTTTTTTTGAAGTTCCCCTTAAGTTTACTTCATTTTTAATGTTGGGGAACACAAATTCAAAGCAAGGCTTATGTTTCATTTTCATTTTCATTTGGTGTGAATCAAGAAGAAGGCATGAATAGTGCTTGCATGTCATATTATTACTTTTTACGGAATTTTAAATAACTTCCTATGTAATGTTAGTTATATATGTATATTTGTGTGATAAGTGATTCGAATTGTTTGCCCGTGTGGTAAGTGAAGCATGCGTGAAAAAGGCAGTATGTCACAGCAATTGGCAACAAAACAAACCAGAAAAACCGTATATCGTGCATACAGCTAACGGATTGTAAGAGTATAACGTGTTATATGCTTTGTGTTGCTTGTGCTGAAGCAGTTCCTTCTTTTTGTCCATCTTTTTTTCTTTCACATATATATACATGCATACATATA